TTTTCTTTGAATACTCTCAAGGCGCTCGCAATCATCAGTTTCCTCCGCTCAGGGTGGGGGTCCGAAGCACAACTGATGATCTTCAGCATAAATATAAGTTTACTTGAATTAATTGAACACTAAATAGGTTTACTAAACACTGAATATTTATAGTACTAATACAAATAATAATAATGCTATCACTATTAGTATCATAGTAGTGACAAAAGAGTGACAAACTAATTGCTAATAAACATGCACTTAACAGAGTGTATATGTCATGGAGATATACACTCTGTTAATTTGCCCTTCGGGAAAAAAGGGCATTTTTTTAACTAGCCCCCCATGGAGAAGACCACCTGGCTAGCTAATTTGAGTTCAAGACCCCTGGTGTAAGTGGTTCTTATGTATTTTCCTCGCCGGTGTCTGGTCAAATTTGCATTTACACAGTGTGAAAATGACAGTATTGCCTGAGCGCTGTGTGAGTTCTGTAGCTGCGGTCTGCTGCTCCTCTGGGAGAGTTTTATACAGAGGTGTGATGGTGCTCTCATCTCCCCTCGTTTGACAGCCCGGTGTAAAGGTCTCACACCCCAGCCCACACGCCACCACAACCTCGAACACAGCCAACCTGGGCATTCTCCCCGTGTGTACTACCCTAGCCCTGGTTTTGCTTTATATTCTGCTGACACTGGACTTTCATTGTTATTCTATTTAGAATTCTCTCATACATTTGCAAACTGGGAAAACACTGAGCAGGTCTGGCAGCCCATAGTCGGTGGATTGGGTTCCAGCCATCTGCTTCGGTCTAGATCTCTTCTACATGCTTGTGGGATGGGCTTGGGGAAGTCTGTTTTTATGTGCCGTCCGCTCTGCTTCGGTGGAAAAGTGTGGAGAGCACTCGGCTCTTGTTCCACTTCTCGTGGAGCAAGTCACTGTCATAAAACAGTAGGCAGATCACATGCACTTCACAAGCCTGAAAGCAGGTCAAACTGCTCTGGGCAACAATCTCTACACTCTAGCCTCTTGCTAGCATTGTGCATGGCTGTGGGTTAGAGAAAAATGCTAGATATCCATTTGTAAAAATTTTGTATATGAGGAGTTGTTAAAAAAAATAACAGCTGACGTATAATGGAAAATACATTGATATTTCTCGAATGAAGGTGCTATTAATCATAATACAGCACTGATATTTTTTGTATGCGTAAAGTTAGAAAATTCTTGAAAGTGGTATATAATATGTTTTGGCAAAAAAACCTTCAGTCATAACTCATGCAGGCCTCTCGATGTTGAGTAAAAGACCCTGTCTCGTTTTGGAGAAAATTAGATGTTTTGGAAAGAGCTGGTGGCTTTGACTTGTTTGGTTCTGGGCTGGAATCTTTGTCCTCATTCTGTTGAGAGATCTGGGGGGAGGCCAACGTAAGCAGCGCAAACTTTAAATGGCAAACCAAACGTGCCTGCTACCACGGTGGTCTTGTCTCCTAGATCCATGTTGAGCCTTCTTACTTAGTACAACAGCAACCTCTTAAGCTCATTTTGAAAGAAGACCAGGGAACATCCGAAAGCCTGGCTTCTCACTGCTCAACTGAGCTCCTGACTAGTTGCGCAGTACAAGGGATTTAAAGGCTGCATAAGCCCATGCCTGGGTGGTGTGAGGTGCTTCAGTTTTCATAAATCAAATTCAAACAGACCGACCTTTCCGGTTTGCTGTGTATATCAGTGTTCTTTAAAAGACCGGTAGCTTCCACCTTATAAGTCTACAGCGACTTTTCTAAGTAGGTCGACTGGAAGAGCCAGAGATCGAGTGGCGTTAGGTGTGTAAACATGACATTGAGGGCTGATCCAGGATTAGAGCTGCCATCAAGCCTGTCCTGTCCTTACACAGGGCACGAAGCATTGCCAACAGGATATCCAGCTCCCCCGCAGGTGTGGCTCTGTGAGTGACAGGTGTTTGTTTTGGGTTAGGGGAAGCTCGGGCTCCAATATCCTCATGCCATTCTGCTAGAAAAGACAAACATGTCCAGTACTTTCAATTAAAGGATTAGCATACCGCTCTGAAGTTGAAATCAGTGTTTTATTTATTCATTCATTCATTCATCATCTTTAACTGCTTAACCCAGCTAGGGTTGCAGTAGCAGTTGGGAGAGCAGAGAATCCCAGACGATCCTGTCCCCCACAGCTTCCTCCAGCTCTTTCCAGAGGACCCCAAGCCACTCCCAGGCCAAGTTGGAGATATAATCCCTCCAGCGGGATTAGGTAGGCCATGCCTGGTAAACCCCCACCAGGAGGCGGCCATCCTGATCAGATGCCTGAACCACCTCAACTGGCTCCTCTCTATGTTTTAATGATATATAATATATTAATGCAATAATATATACAACATTTTATTTCACTAATAAAGGTGGTATTATAACATAATAATATAGTAATAGTAATATAGCATTGATATTTCTTGCGTGTAAAGCTCACTCCCAACAACATATATCATAAAAATAATCCTACTAAAAAAACTACTGTTGTATAATTATTTGTTAAAATATTACAAGTGCTTCTAAACTTTCAAACAAATAGTGTTTATGCTGATGTTTAGAATATCAGAAAAGAATTGAGAATTTATAAGGAGGTTCTTCATTGAGTGGCCCCAGACAGCCACAGTTCAGGCCAAGCTGCAAACGCCATGTGCTATCAGCGGGAAACTGCATCCATAGCAACAACTCCATTCCACTCCATTATCATATTATTTCCAGATGTACAGTCAGTGTTGTTTAGCACCAGCCCTGTCAGAACTGAACATATAGATCTTTTTACTGGCAAAAGGCTCGAGTAGGTGCACAGAGTGCAAGTTATTCTGTGTATCATGTGTACAGCAGCAGCATGATTTTTTTTTATGGTGCCCTTTTTTCAGTAGATTAAAGAGCTGTCCTTTACGCAATGACAACTCCATTTGGTTAAGCTCAAATTTCATCCCCTCCAAAGTAATTACAAACGTAGACAGACAAGACAGAACTATTTAACGCAGGGATCAGCTGAAAATAAAAACATGGCTAAATAAAAGTGTCCCTAAACCGCTCTGCCATGCTTGGTTTGATTGATGCTGTGACTGTGGTGTATTTATTCAGTCAAGCAATATTATATTTGTTCTCTCTACAAATTCTTGCTTGCTGATGGCCACCCAGGCTTCATTGTGCCCTGTTATCTGACAATATTGCTTTTTGTGTCACAAAAAGCAGCAATGTTGTGCGGTAGGAAGTCAAAACAATGTTTAGAATGCCTGGAATGTTCTTTGCTTTCAGAAGTTGAGTGGCATGGTTTTGCGGACGCCACAGGCGCTCAAAAGTGAGCACTCACAGTGTTGTTGGCCGTGGGATGAAGGAGGCCTTTCCACCCACGCCCTCTCTAACTGGCACACATGAATACATATACACACACACCAAATGAACAACCAACCAACCAAAAAAGAGCGAAAAACACAACAAACACAAACTTGCTCTTTTGAGCTAGAATGCTACTCTGTTATACTGCATCTGACTTATTTAAATAGGCCAACAGAATTGTATGGAAGTAATATGGAATTCTTTTGTGTTTCAGCTAGCTTACTGCTAAACACTGCTTTAATTCCACATCACTACCAATACCTACCATTTAAATAAAAGAAAATATCTTATTATTACAACGTCGTTTAATGTGTGCAGAATGCAAAAACTATTTCTTACTGACTAGCAACTGTGCTAGCTGTTGTGTTGGGCAGCTAACAGTTGCAACATTAGCCATGTCACATTAGCAGCACTTCACTGTTTTGTTTCATAATGGTTTCAAGCTGACAAACAGGGATTAGAAATTGTAATTTAATTAATACTGAAAAATTTATCTACTACCTTTATCTACTTTTGCCTACCTTAGTACTTTAGTAGGCAAAGGAAGCACTGGTAGCTGGTTTGCTACTGTGTGTTGCCAGCTAGCTACCTAGTTAACACAGGTTTCTTGGATGTGCTATGTTCAAATGATACCAGTGGTTCCAAGTACACTACAATGTACTTTGTTGAGCTTATGAATACTTAAATATAGCAATTTCAAATAATAATATGAAGTATTAAGTTATATACAAAGTGAAATGGAAATCATAACACATTTTGTTCTGTAAAGCGATGTATTTATGAATGAAACAGTGTTAAGAGGGGTGTGTGGGCTAGGTTACCGTTTCACTCAATAAAAGGGGAAGGTGGAAAAGTTGCTAATGTTGGTTAATATTAATTTTTCTCTGTCTGCTGGTGCACGGTGATGTTACCAAAAATCATAAGACGTTTAGAGGCAGGCAAAAGTCACTATACCTCAAAGATTACTGGAAAATAATAATGTTGTTCATAAAATGGTAATGTATGATGAATTATGCTTAATATGATGAGAAACACAAGCTAACCATGCCAAAAATGGTCCATTTTGATTGTGGGTTGACCTTTAAGTTATATTAACAGAACAACAGCATGTCAGGTATTTTCTCCCAGACACCACATGACAGTGTCACTATGGAAAACGCTGAAGAATTGCTTGTACTCTGAGGATGACATCTGGCTGTCTAAGAAATATGTGGTTGTTTCCAAATAAAATGTTTCATACAGCTGTTTGGAACAAAAATACAACCCCCTATATTTGACCTATATACTCCCATTCCTCAAGCTCAAATTGTTCAATATATGAAAATGAAAGAACTAGCAAACTATCTAATGTCTGTGGTTCCCCATCTCTCTGCACACGGGCTGCCAAGCCTGGTTAGGTTGCCAGAGAATGCTTCAGTGTGGTTTCTGCTCCGGAGACCTGGCACTGTTCTGCGGCTTTCACCAAGAAGATAAATAAGTTGGTTCTTGTGTTACATAAACCATATTTACTTTCCTGTTTTTGTTTTTTTTTTGTTGTTTTTTTTGTAATGAATGATTGAGCACAGCCATCTGTAACAAGCTTCAACATTTCTCATAGTGTAAAGATGTATTTACTGATGTAGAGACATCATAACAAACTGATGGCAAACGTTGAGGGTAATATTCATGTTAGTTTATTGAATACATCTTTGACTCAATGGGACATGATTGCGGACACAACAGTAACTAAATAAATCTCTGAGAAAATAATACTGTAATTCTGAAATGGCATGTTGTCTATTCCAGTAAATCTCTGACATACGATATATACACATATTCAATATTATACATTTATACTGGCGTAAACACACTAACAATAGCCATAGCTTTGTGATTGCTGTTTCATTGTTTAAATGTTGACCATTTTAATCCTCTTTATGACTTAAATACATTCTTTCCTCTGCTTACATAAGTGGATTTAACATGATACTATTTTTCCCCCAGTACACATACAGTACTCTCTTTCAAAAATATATTCTATTTTGGTAAAAGTCCATAAGCTCATGACCAAGAAGATGGGAATATTATCTTTTTTTAGACACTGCAAAACATTATGCAAGCAGGCCATTTTTTTTTTGCTTTTGAGTTTCAGCAATGTCCTGGTGCCAGAAGTGCTTATGCTTTCGTTCAGTTTAAGTAACATTCTTTTTATATTTATGCACAGTAGAATGAGTTGATTCATTCAGACTCAGCTCTGTATGAGGAGTGAGAATCTTCCATCTAAATACCATGGTTAATGTTTAGGACCAGTTTAGCAAATCAAGAGGACATTTGAACCTTTTAAGTGGCATTATATGCTGTACTAGCAGGTATGTCTACCTTACAAATTCAGATTTGTTTAAGCTTTTTTGGTTTTGTGTAATTTTGTCTTGCCTTTACCTTCATTTTCTACCTCTACTTATCAAGCCAACTGAGCTTAACTTTCATATTTGCTTTTAAAAATGTTTTGACTGTCATCGATCGGACTTTGATCCAGTTAAATAATAATTAACCGAGTATAGAATTTCCTGCAGCCGTCGTGTCTCGGAAAAAGTCTCTTTTCAATGGCATGTCAAAATTCACTAATAGATCAATGGAGATTATCACATGAGGATCACTGGTTTTAAAAGACCCGTCTCTTTTCAACTTTGTAAAAAATGATAAAAAAAAATAGCTTTAAAGGAGCTTTCCTATTCCACCTTCAACAAGTGTCCTCAGGCACCTGTAAAATAATTACAGTAACCTGGGTAGCTGCTAAGAAGCCTGCAGATCAGATTATTGTTGACTCTTCAGCGATTGCTTGCTTTTGATTTCTTGATTTAGCTATATGAATGATTCTATTTCAGCTATTCTGACTGTTCTCATTTAAACTGTAATAATCATGAAGGCTGGTAGTAGATCATGCTCTCCATTACCTTTATATTTGTTTATAAACTCATTCTATAAGGTTTAACCTTACTGATATTAATGAAACCTCTCCATCTGCAGTAATAAGTCTGAGCAGCGGAGCAAGTGTAGATCACATTGCCTTAGCAGCACAAAAACACACCCCTTTCTTGCACACTGTTATCAGTCTCTCTGAGATATTTCTGGGTGTTCTCTACATAGATAGCACATTTCCAAGTAATGCCCACTGGCCTGTGTTAATCTAAGATATTTTGGCTGGCTTTACATGGTGGAACTTTACACTGTGAAACTAGTTGCATGTTGTGAGTTGCATGTAACATAATGTCATAAAGTAACTAAATAACAAATTTGCATGCACCACATTTGATTATCCCACAAGTTAACCAAATTAGCAGCTTTATTTTCACTCTGTATCGTTCACAGTATAAAGTAATCCGCCAGGTAATATTTACATATTTGTGGCATTTTTATTTTATATTTAGTTTTAGTTTTATATAATTTTTCAAGCTGTCATTGCTATTCTTTTTCCATATCTACATTTATTTTTATCTTTCTACAATTCTTTACTATATATTTGACTTTTAAATCTGTTCTGTACATGATAAGCTTTTTTAAAATTAATGTTTAAGTAGCTGTTGCGCTTGTACTCAATGCCTCACCCATCCTGTCCAAGGAGCACTGGGGGCATCAAGAGAGGAGGAAATGAACAAGCAGCCAATTAAACAGCTGTTTCATACAGGTTTCAAGCAACAGAAGTTGCATGAAAGTTTCACCAGATAAAGCCAGCCTCAGATTGTGCTTTCTAGTAAGCCAACATTGGCATATATTAAGTAAATAAAGTTTAACGGAGACTGAGACGAGAACGCACCAAAGCTGAGAGGTTTGTAGAAATGTTGGCAATATTAGGAGCCTTTTGCAAGATAGCTTTGAGCTAAACAGGTTGGTCACAAAGCATCACATTAGAAGACTGAGTCATATCTGTAACAGACTACCACCACATTTAAGTTCAAGTTTCCCTTCGAGAGAATGAACGGTTGAAATGGGTATAGGATTTCCTGTTTGCCAGTGAGGCGTGTTCAGAAAAACAGACATAGCTTACACAAAAACAGCACTTAGTGGTTTTCTTCTTGGTCACCCTTGTTCACCGTAGCGTCTGACAAAATAAAGTTAAATGGTCACCAGAGGTGCTGAGTTAAAAAGTTACACACTGTCACCAGAGGGTTCCACAGTTTCACATACAGACACATTCCAGGGGTCTGTGGGTTATGCAGCAAGTGCCAGTGAGGTGCAGCAGAGGAGAATACAGTTCTGAGCTGGGACCCTCACGTAATCACCTGCTGCACAGCGGAGCGTTCGTGAGGACACGGTTGCTCGCCACAGTTCAGCCTCTTAAGCAGCCGCTGGAGCTTGTGGGAAAAGTTCTTGTTCATTTGCCTGTACATGAGTGGCATGGCGAAGCTGCTGGAGAAGGCCAGCAGCTGGGACACGCCCCTTAAGAACATGTAGGCAGTGACCTGTCGCGAGCGATACCACTTGCCCGGCACATCGGTCACCGTCAGCATCAGGAGGGTGGTGTAGTAGGGAGTCCACAGCACAAACTGCACGCACACACAGGCCAGCAGCAGCCTGTGGATGGAAGGGTCCAACCTGCCTGAGTCCTGGTCCAGTGGGGTGGCCTCTTTGCGGATGCGCAGGATGAGTGTGAAGGCGTAGAGCACGGCTACAGCCGGCACCACGTAGCCGATGAACATCATGATGGCATCGGCCGCACCCTTGTTCTGCATCTCGGAGCACTCGATAATCTTGGTGGACACATGGTTGCACACATAGAAGAGTAGCGAGGAGAAGCTGGTGAGCACAGCGCCGCCCCAGATGAAGCCGCACACGTGCTTGGTGTTGTAGACACTGGACATGTAGGTGCGCGGCAGCGCCCGCTCAATATAGTAGTCCAGGCTCAGCAGCGTGGTAGAGTACATGATTACCAGTGAGGAAACATTGAAGAGGATCAGAAGGGTGATGTAGACCTCGTCATCATACCGCCACACCGGCCAGCGCGTGAAGTCCGGACCTAGGAGCTCCACTGGAGCCACCAGGTTTAGCACCAGGCCGGCGATGGCCATGTTCACGAAGTAGACGTCTGGCATGGTCATGGACACCTTGTTGGACAGGTTGACCACCACCAGCAGGGCATTGTAGCACAGGCCCACTGGGAAGCAGACGAAGAGATAAAAGAGGGAGAGGATGGACAGCACGAGGCCTAAGTCTTGGCACAGCGCCAAGTTCGTGCCGCCTGCTGTCTCATTATAACCCACGCAGCTCCACATCGCGAGGCTGCCTCTGGTCCACTCCGGCTCAGTGAATCAGCTGCAAGACAAGTCATCAACAATATGTTAAAAAAAAAAAAAGCTTTTGCTTTCTTGATTTCTAATCCAACAAAACTTTTTTCTAAACCCTTTTTTCTAAAATTCTAAGGACCTGTCGGGGGGGTCCAAACTGCAATTCTGCACTCTTTTAACTACATGTAGGGGTAATTTGGCAGAAATATAATATCATGATACTTCAGTACATTTTCTTAATACATGACACATATCACAATATTTGTTCACTGAGGTTTGATTAGTTGGAATAGATAAAAAGCAACTAATGCCATATTGGCTATCCAAAACTTTAAAAATTAGATTTTTGTTCTGATGTTTTGCATACTGCACTGCACTAAATTTAAACAGGCCTAATTATGCTTTCTTTGTAATGAACATTCAGTTGTTCTTTAAGTACTGTAGATATTCTTAATAGGCTCAGTAATGTATAATGTGGCATGACAAAATTTATCACTATAACGATAAATATCATCATATTGCCCATTGCTACCTACATACCTTACATATTCATTCCCTAGTAGTTACTGAGTAAATTACAATACTTGATAAAAAGCTTTAAGACTGATAACAGAACCTTCTCAAATACACCTGATTCAACTAACGAGGTAAATTTATCACCAAACTGTGCCTTCTTTGACCAGAATTTATGGCCACTGGCTGGAGTTCAGGGGTTACCTGTGGGAATATTGTTGTAAGAACATTTGCTGTGAATTTCTCTGATTCAGGTGTTTCCCTGATCAAAACCTTTATACTTTTTGGTCTCAAACATTTTAGCTATTGTTTGAAAAGAGAAGAGCAAGTGAAACCATCCACACATAAGCAGTCCAGACACGGTACAGCCATTATGTCCACAGTAACACTGTTAATTCCACCTCACTGCACCTCACTGGCTGAACAAAGCTCGGCACAATGTGGCACGCTGGACAGCAAACGCTGCGCTCTCCAGTGCTATTGCTGATCATAGCGTGCAGAGAAAGAGAGAAAAATGCATTTGCATTTACATCTCAAACATCTTTCCTTTCGCTCCCTCTGTAGGACCTATATAAAAGGTCTCGCTTGTTGTTTCCCTTGTTTCGCTCCCTCTGTAGGACCTATATAAAAGCCTGCACCGCCAGTGATGTGCTAGTGCTGTTCACATTGCCAGCTTCACGTAGAGTTGACCTTGCTTGCCCCTATCGCCTTCACTTGACAGGGCGTGTTGTTCACTGCTCGCTGACCATAGAATGGCATGCTTCAGATTTGTACTAACGGCTCCCTATCCATAGCCGAGCGGAAGGTCAGGTGAATTTATGGGGTGAAATGTGATGCTTCAGGGTCAGGGTGGAGTGGGTTTGAGAGGTTGGAGTTCACACTGAGGTTACACAGCCAGCTTGGGCACACACAGAGAACCACTTCAGCCCTGATAAAGCCTGCAAGCCTCCAGCCTGCTCATTAAAGCACAGTTACATAACACGCCTTTCTGTCTGCAACTTACACTCTCACATTGTACTTGTATCATCTCTAATTAACACTGCTTCTGGGGACACACAAGCTGGCATGTGTATTCTTGCAAAAAAGGGAGAGGGGACTTTAAACAGTTCTTGTAATGGAAAAATGCAATCAAAAAGTTGGATGTAGATTGTAAACACTGTTTCAAACAGTTCACACAGTCCAAAATACGCAGCAGCCTGTTTTGAATATTTTACCAGTACATTTTCAGAGAAGACATTATGATGATCATTATTGTTATCATGACAAATGAACCAACAGCATGTTTTATTACATATGGAGCATATGGAGACCTGGTTACCCGCATTTTGGTTCAGCACAGTATGTGAAATAGTCCAATATAAATTACTGAATTTGTAGTTTTTGATACCATTTTTGTGACACTATTTTTTCTCTGTCCAAATTAATCAAAGTTCAGAAGGACTAAATATTGTGATACTTATCATGCATTGAGAAGATGTCTAAATGTATCATGATCGTATATTTTTTGCCACATCGCCCATCCCTAATACACATACTTATAACCACCTACTCAGCATGCAACACTTTAGCTCTGCCCATCCGTTGAAGTTATAAGGAGTGTTATAGTCTGGACTGATTTTCTGAACAAAGCACAATACAGAACAGCCAATCAGAACAAAGATCATTTAAAAATATGGGTCTTAAAGGCACAGTTGACAAAAACAGGCTGTTTAATCCTAAGGGTTAAAATGTGGTTGAAAAAGAGTTAAAAATGAATTATGACTGTTTTTGATACATAAGCCCGCACAAAAATTAATAGACCTTGAAAAGAAGAAAGAATAAAATACAAGAAAAGAGATAGAAAGCTGCCAAAACAAATCAAATTTATACAATTGTGCCCTGTCCCCAAATGCAGCTCACATTTGTCTGTCTAGTTAATAACACTGCAGTGATGTAAAACATCAGAACAGATGCACAGCAGCAAAGTGAACATTCTTCATCTGCCTTACGTAACTCCACTACAGAGAAGCTGTTTTGGCCTCGGGACAAACACCACTGCACAGCTCACACACGACATCCACCCAAGGGCTACGATTTCATGTCACCCATCACACCTGATAGAGTACTAGCATGCAGGCAGAGCCAAAAACACGGTTTAACATCGACAGCACAGTTCAAACAGTTCTCACATGGTGGTCTGACCATGACCCTCTACTAACATTTGTGTTAACTTGGCCTCTTAACTTACCTTCAGAAAGTCCTCTTTTCAGAAAAAAAACAACTCTTAGTGTGCTTAGTGTGACATTGTTGTTAGTGATTTGCTGCCAGTTCTGGCTGCCTCTGGAATCCTGATCTCACCGTGATGAGTGAGGGATGGGAGGGAGGAGTGTAGGATTACCTCGGGAAAGGACAGGTGTAAACACTGACTCTGTGTTTACAGGGGTCCACACAATTCTCTTTAAGTTACTTTGACTTCTATCATTCAAACAGTGCAAACATATACAGCTGTATATATTTTCACAGACATCACAGATTGTAAAAAATCACCGCTGTGGAACACGCAGATTGACCGCAGTGACAAGATACTAAAAGGCTTCAACATTCAACCCCCATCCAGAACAGGTCACTGACAGGGGCTCACTGAGTGGGTGTCAGCTGCTCTGTGCACTTCCTTTATTTACTCTGCTGCTGATCACCTTATGTGGCCGGGGTACACCAGAGTTTCAGCTTGGACTGCGTGCTGGCCAGCAGGGCTGCAACGATTAGTTGACAACGTCGATGAACCAAAACTGCTGACATGGATTTTTAAACGCTAAAGGGCTTATATGTGGGCATTTAGTTCCACACTCTCATAACCACATACACTATTTGTCTTAAAGTTCACAGACACCTGCTTATCCAACGTTTCTTCCAAAATCAAGGGTATGAATAGGGAGTTTGTCCCCCATCTGCTGCAGGAAGAGGCTTTACTCTTCTGGAAAGGCTTCACTACAGATGTTGGAACATTGCTTTGAGGATCTGACTGCATTCAGCTTCAAGAGCACTGGTGAGGACAGGTACTGATGTTCGATGAACAAAGCTGCCCAATTCCAACAAACTGAAATATGTTGGGGGCAACATGGTTCTTTAGTTTCATTGCATTATTGCATTAAGAAACTGCTTGTCACACAGATGGAATAATAATAATGACAAATGAGGGGAGAGAAACTAATAAAAGCATTATAGTTAGATTAGCAGATTGATCAAATCATTTTCAAATCATTGTGAGCTGCAACCCTACTAGCCAGCTGCTTTCATTTTCCACCATCACTGCATCTTTTCTCCTTTCCAAATGCACGACCATTACCGAGCATCTCTTGAGAACGCTTTGGGAAGAAATCCCATTGAGCTTGAGTCAATCCTCACTTTACAAGCACGTCGCTTTGAGAGGCATTCCAGAGCCACTGGCTCACATGACAGAGCATTACTGCCGAACCAAATGCCCTTGTACTACTGCATCTCCCTGTGTCATTAGTTACGCTTCCCTCGCAGGCGAAAACTCAACTTGGCGAGCCGCACTTCTGCAGAGTGCGTGCTGAGGGGGTGACGCTGAGTAGGCCTGACACTTTAGGACGCTGAGTTTGCACTGCTTGCGGCCAATGGGAGGAGAGTGATAAGGCTGGTACCACGCCCCTCACTGGATCCCTGCTGGAATGTACAGCAAATTTCCCTGAATAGGCTGAGTGAGGTCACATGATTGCACTTTCTGAGCTTTGCAAGTGCATGCCAGAAGGATTTAGGTAGCGCAGTAAAGTAAGAGGTGGATGTATTTCTACTTCACTATGTGGTGTTGCAAAACATGCTGGAGTCCCCAGATGACCACAAATGTGAAGCTACTTAACATATCAAAAGTGAAAACTATGATTAAATGAAATAACATAATTCAAAAATAGCTATTCCACTATCTGAGTGTACAATTTTAGAGAGTGCCCTAAAGTACTGATAGAAAGGAGCGATTATATTCCATTACGAGAATTTCATTCAAGATTTATTCCACCTGCATCTGTCTCTCATCTGGTCGTAATCCACTACTTTTCATTCCATCCAAGCAGCACAGCCAAAGAGAAAAGCAGCCATTAGCTGCTTGAATACGTGCAATGTTTTACTGCAGGATGTGCTTTAGGCCTAGCGCGCCATTCAGCAATGTTATTAAACTGCTGCAAAGTATCTGTATAAATTTTTCTGACACCATGACATCTAGGCTCAGACTTCAGTGCACAATCTTGGTTATGAATTTATTAATAAATTAGAAGAACAACACAACCCAGCTGTCCTGGCTTACTTATTACCATCCACTGTTATAATAGAAGATGGTTTTCATATTTCTCCTGCAGCTAATGCTTGGGCAGTTGTGGAGAAAGATGACAGATGCTCTATGCAGAAGCTTACCTGGCTATGAAAATTGACTCATATATTATTTACATATCTGGCAGGCACAAACACTACTTCATTGACAGTCATTTTAACAAGATTTCCTCCCTCTCTATTTCACCAACTGGTGTGTGTTTTATAAAAAGTAAACAGAAAAAAGACGGATGATTTTTTTTCAGTTTTCAGATTTTTTTTTTAGTATTAAGAAATAATAACTGCTTTCATTTTCGTTCTCACTTTATGAGCCCACATTTCTGTGTAAAATGCCTGAATGAAAAGATCAACGGAGAGCAATGTTTACAATTCAATGAGAAAATTGGATATGTCTTACATAATGCACTCCAGCTCAGCTGGATAGCTTGGAACATGCTCTTGAGAAAAGCTCTAGAGTCCTTAGCGCTGCCCTCAGCTGTCTCATATGACGTCCCATGAATATCTGTTGACAAGCACATGCTTCGTCATCCTTTTACCAGCAATGTGTGGCAATAGTACAGATAGAGATGAGCTGGACTTCAAAATGACTTCCCTTAAAGTTTTAGGCTATTTTTAGAGGCAAATGTTAAATAGAAAAAAGATTTGTTAACAATATATTTATTAACAGTTAAATAAATTAATTTCCAGTGTAATAATAAGCTTAATAAAGTGTAATAAAGGAAATACACTTCATGTCATCTTCATATGATTTTATATTCTAACTTTAGGCTGGTTTGAAGATGAAGGTGATAAACTTAAGAGATGGAAATAACTGAGCCTGAAAAAACACCTCTGAGTAAGTCATAATACTCGGCGCATTATCTTTTACCATCTGCCTCCTAGAGCACTTCAAAAGCTACAACAGGAAACCGGCTAGGCAGGCCCTGTGCATTCTTTAATTCTTTGAAGTCATATTTTAAAAAGATACGATTTAATTAAACACAGGTCAAAGACACAAGCTGAATTCTGACTCATCACACAACCAGCCCGAATGAGGAATAAAAAGTTGTCATAATATCGCATTTATGAAAGCAGCTTATAATCTTGGAACTCAAGATTTAATAAGACCACATGTACAAATTCAACAAACAACTGTCTTCCAAAATTAGCGTAGGGACACCCCTGTATGGGATTTCTTGGACAACGCCAATATCCAACATTTTCCATGTACTTCTCTGCCGATGCCAATACAGAAATCTTTATAAAATAAAAATTGTGATTGTGTCCACTTGGATTAGCATCACAGAGAAATTATATGTGTATATATATATATATATATATATATATATATATATATATACATATATATATAGGTGATATCATCAGTACTTAAAAACAAAAAAAAGACATCATTTTTAGTCCTGTAATTGGATTCAGTGCAGCGCAGCATGTGAACTGTTGAATCTAAATCATTGTATTCATAGTTATTGATAGTATTTTTGTAAACCCGGCACTTCTTTTGTATTTCAAAATACTTATTGTATATTGTGAAACTTTTTAGAGTATTGTGATATTACTTTTTTGCTATATCACCCACCTCTCTCTCTCTCTCTCTATGTATATGTATACATATATGGGAATACAATGAAGGCAGTGTGTAAACATTCTGTTGTACTGGAGTGCAATAAATATTTCCTCCAATATCGGTTTGAAATATCAGTCAGAAACTAAATATATGTCTGATGTCGATATATTTTAAGCAATACCGAATCGATCCCGATATTACCGTGTATCTCTTATTAATTTATTTACTCATCTTGATCGCGTGCCAACTCGGATCTCTCGCGCGCCAGACTGGCGCTGACAGGAGCGTTATCCTCTCAGCAGGAGGCTGACGTTCGACCACGAAACTAACGGATCAGATATTGCACAATAACCAACTAAAAGTCCTAAGTGACAAATAACTGAGACGTTAACTGTAAGTTGTGACAGGAAACGCAATATAAATTGAACACTTCACCTCAAAACAACGGGGAAATGAACACGACGACCACCTGTCAGGTGAGGCTAGCCCAGGCCTCACTTAGCCGGAGATTTGAAAACGGTGCCAGCTGTAAACTTTTTCTGGCACTAACTAACTAACTAACTGCTTCGTTTCAAAATGAGCACAAAACCTGTGAGGAGGACAGAGTAACTTGTGTTGCCTTGTTGCTTTGGGTCCTTAAATACAGAATAATACTGAGAAGAACAGATTTTCATACAGGTGAGTGTTTTTAAAGAGGCTTACGATCCTCAGACTCAACAAGCGAAAATGTAGGTTACAGCCAACAGTATCTTCTGAACCAACGGTCGCCTGGTTTAAAAAAAGAAGCAGTCCTGTGTATCTTATCTATAAGATTAGAAATGGAGACACAGAGATAGCCTCGGACATTAGACCCCCACCCCCCACCATTCACTGAACTTCTACATTGATTTGAAACGTCGCTGCTACGGTCAACTGTCACAAAATCACTAAGTTCACTAGCTCCGCTCACACTGAGGTAAAGCAGCCTGTCTGAAATCTACAACATCTGTTGAGCCGTTATGGGTTTTGTATATGTTAGTTCTTTCTGGTTTTTAACTTAGTTTAAATTTTCAGACCTAGAATATTTTAAAAACTCAATTCTAAAGACCTTTTAAGTTGAACAACTCAATAAAGGGTTAAATTTACTCACCAAAGGAGCGATTTTCTGGCACCGCGACAGACCTACGGAGGGTTCTGCTGTATTTCCACTGACATTTCTTCTCGACTACTTTTGAGATATCTCCCAGTTTACGAGACCGAGCGTCGCCGCTTCGCCTGCGGAGCAAAGAAACCCTGAAAGGCAGTGGATTAAAGTGCTTCTGTTCGCCGTAAACAGTGTTGCATATATGGCAGTTTCGTCTCCCAACGGTGGCTTGTTCTGAAAAGGGGAGGAGGACGCTGAGGACTTACTACGAAGCGAGTGGTACTGAACTCTACAGTGTGTACACACGTGACCCTCCCCCACCGCTTTCCTCTCCGCTGAGCCTGGCCGATGAGGCCCGCCTGGGCTACGGCGCTGTCATTGGACGAACGGAGTGGAGGGAGGGGTGAGAGGGAGAGAGGGAGAGAAAGAGAGAGTGAGTGAGAGAGAGAGAGGCTCTGAACAGCACGGCCTCTCTCTGCACGAAAACACCCCAGTGCAAAAAGTAGCTTCAGCTGCAGACAGGTTACAGAGCAAGCAATCTGCAGCACAAAAGACCCGTCTGCACGTGAAACCACTGGCAGATGCTTGTAGAGAGGTTGTGGTGTTTAGTAGGCTGCTTTTCTTTCATCTCTAGGCATCACAGAAATGGCTGCTAAGGCTTAGGCCTGTGGCTGCCTGTCCAGCACATATGGGATTCACATTTGAAAAAAAAAAAATACATATATATTTTCTGTTTTAATCTCTTACTAATAGCAGTCCAGCAGGGAATGTATTTATGGAAATACTGCTGGCAGTCCAGTTTATGATAGAGAATTATGTAACAGGATTAGGCCCGACCTAGGCACATAGTGAGTGGACGTACACTATAATCTAATGAGTGGCTGGGAGATTCTGTTTAGCCTAATGTATTTCTGAATTTCTGACTCTGCCTTTTAATCATGCCTCACTTTCGGACTCATCCTAAACCATTGCACAAATGTTTTCGTTATTATGACATCTCTTATTGATTTTCCTATGAATTGCATTTTTGCGTTTTAATAGACCTCAGCATTTTGTGCTCTACGGTTAAATCAATCGGGGAAACAAAGATGGTGTTGGACTGGTGGATTCTTCCGAACATCAGTCAGGTAGCAACTGAAATGGGTCCTGCTATAGAGTGAGTTTAGTTTTCTAAGAAGATTAAGGATTACAGAAGTGGGACCAGCTGTAAATACTTCTCTGTTTATGACCCACATTTTGAAGCCCTGACCTAGAGCAACATTTTGTAACAAGGCAAGGCCTACAATTAGCACAGAGTGTGTTCTATTTGGACCACGGCCATGGCTTTATTTAAAAAAAAAACAATACTTGTCAATAGTGATACGTTTCCCTAGTGCTGCACGTTACACAACACTAATGCACTACTTAGATGCTGCACTAATACTGCATACAGTATCAGAGCCTGGACCCAACGCTGTTTCCCAGTGGAAACACATGCCATTTCATAGTTGTTTGATTCATTAGAAAGAACTAACAAACTTCTATTGAAAACAATATCTCTTCTTTAGAAGGAGAAGAATGACTCCAGTGTGGTTGGGCAGGGAAGAAGGAAAAATGCTGGCTGATATAAAGTATGCTTTGACTCAACAGCAATGTGGGGCTCCCTTGAGGTGATTATCCAGTGGTTGTGGTTTCATGATGACTACTGTTCACAGTAGCTCTTTCCGCTAATGGCTACCACCATTTCATTCTCCTAAACTGTGAGGCTAGGCCATCCTTCTTGTAGCCCCAAGCAGTACCATCTGTTGTGCTTACAAAATAGCACACGAATAGCAAAACATATTTATTTTTACAGGAAGTTCGCATCACCCTTTTCTTGAAACAATGCATCCTATTTAGAAAAGTCCTGTTGCCATAAATGACCATATTGGGACACATGGGAGCAGCTTTAACCAGCATCTTCATCTCCAGAATAAGCTGATGGGAACGATGACTTGAAGTCAGTAAATGCAGTAACTTTATAGGTTTTTTAGAATGTCCATGGCAACATGGATGGTCAGTAAAGCAGCCAGTAAGTTGCAAATATGTAACTATATGTTACTGCTACATTAAAAAAGGGGTCTGAGGGTATAACCACAGCACTGTGAATTAATTTTATTTGTGCTCCTTCTATGCAGAGTTGATTTGTGGCACTATGCATGATGTGTTATTGTTGCCTTTTATTTCCACAAGGAACCTTTAGTGATTCAAACACACCTTTGTGTCTGTGCAAAAGGCTTCAGCACAACAGGCTTTATGTGACAAAACACACTTTAAAGTTGAGCCTCCTTAAATCCCGGCTCGGCCGCCCTACCTAGCAATCCTGCCAAGTAATTACAGGGTGCAAGAATTGTATACGGCAGGTTAGAACCTCAAGGAAGTCTCACAAAGAGATCGTTTTCAAGACACTGCATCTTCAGAAGTACTCCAAAGACCGTCAGTAGTATTTAGCGTCTTATGGTGAACGGAACTGTGTTCAAAAACATGTTGATAGATTTTTCCAGCTTCTAGATGGCAGCTACTGTTGCCTGATCCAGTGGGAAATGTGCGTGAAGTGCAAATTGTTGTAATGAGAAGTGTATGACTATTCAACTTCAGGAAACAGTGTTTCTGTATGCTGCTATCTTTCATTCTAAAGCGTATACATCCCGTAATTTTGACATTATTTAGGTCAATGCTGATTCAGTGTCAGACTGGACTAGTAATCTGTAGATTTCAGTGTGAACTGTGAAGGAGTGGTGATAGATAGTGTGCTCATTCAAAGAGCCACATTTGTCTGATTATATGCTTTCTCTGCGATCAAATGAGAGAAATGTCTGTTCTGTAAAGCTAAGACAGTTCTGAGAAAGTTCCTGCTGTGTATCAGATTTGGGCCCTAAACTGGATTCATAGAAAGTAGCATTTTGATTTTTATCCAGTTTGAACAGTTTAGGATGGAGTGCTGGGATTTGACATGAATTAGTGTGGTGATCTGAAATCCACATGGTATACGTGTTATCCTGTTTATGTTGCAGCTTGTGAGATATTTTGCTGCAAAGTAGTGCAGGATTACAGCAAAACTGAGTGTTGCAGGCCCTACAACCTGCAGTTGAAAACAAGCTTAGATGAAATTTTTGGGAGGGAATACTTTTTTTGATATTGCATGTTTAATCTGCAATGGATACCTGTTCATCTGGCAGAACTTGTAGCAGCTGTAGTGGAAAGTGTGAAGAATTTAATGATTATAGTACGCCCATAAAACAGAGGAAAGGAAGACAACACACCCATGACATCACCTACTCCAGAGCCAGAGGAGTGGCTTTAAATGAGTAATATTCTTTCAAATTAAAAATGATTCAACAGTGATTCAGTTCCACCCTTCCCGTAGGTTCATGGAGCTAACTGTGAAATGAAACAAAGACTTTAAATTACATATAGGAGGATAAGTAATGTCATCTAAGTCTGTCAAAACAGCTGAAAATGCTTAAAATTCTCATGTTTTCAGGTTTTTTTATTTCTCCCATTCTCCCTAACAGAACTTGCCCTCAACTCTTCCACTTTCTATAAGAGCTTCTCTCCTATATTTCCTGTAAATGAAACTAAGACATACCGGTGCCCATTTATGGGAAATGATCTCATCTGCTCTCAGGTATGCCATATTGAACTAAGCCATGTATAGGCACTGGGATTATATCTTGCTTAAGGTATTCACTGTAAATTGGGTGATGAATGGTATGAAGCCTTATCTACCCTGCATTGTGGGAGGTAAATATGTGGGTCACTGTGAAGGAGTCTGGCAGTAGATAGAACGCAAGCCTGCATGACAAAATGAGGATTGTTCTGCTCTGAATATGTGCAGTAACTGAGCATGAATGAGGTTCACTCAGCAGAAATGCAGGTTTTATCATCCGGTCTGACTGTTGTTATGACTCTTCCTGAATATAAATGTTGTAACTTTAAAGACAATGACCTGCAAAGGCCAGTTAACTGTAAAATTAATTTTTCTTGCCATGTCTTCATGTAACTTTACTGAAGGCTGATTTGAGCAGTTAGTCCATAATGACTCAACATGTAGCAGAATCCACATTCTGAGTGCTGTGCTTGGCCTTTTTCCCACCATCAGTTGGAAGTAAGAGGGAGGGATTTGTAGAGATTGAAGGAGGGGCTTGTTGACTAAATCACTGTTCATCTCCAATCAAGCTTTGAAATCTTATCTATTCCTGGAAATTGCAAGTTCATTGGGGCGCTGGCCTGCTCTTACCTTCCTCTAAAGACAGGAGATCACACAGCACCATATGGCCCAACTAATGGAAGTCATTTCCAGTCAGTTGCACAAACTCTCAGTGTTCTTTGAGCAAAGACATAACCCACACAACTGGACTTAGAGACACATTACTAAAATGTCCAGAAATATTCTTTAAGATTTGAAACAGAGCAACAGAGCAGCTGGTGGGAAAAGTCTTCCCATACTACTAGCTTGGATTTTATTTGAAGCACACAGGTATTTCCTAAGGACGCAAGATCACAGACATAGTCCTTTCCTTTTGAGGCTCTCTGCTGGGCTTCCTGTTTGGTGGAAAGAAATGGGCTACTCACTGACTGCAACACTATGTTTGTGCACCGGAGTGGGGAAATGGCGAAGGTTGCTGGATGGCGGACATCAAACATTCTCTTCAACAATGTCTGATCTGTGATAAGCTGTACCCCGACACCAACGCCCACTGTCGCCCAGCAGCACACAAAGGCAGATCACTCTTCACATGCATCCAAAGCTCTTAGACTCTGTACCTCACAATAAGCCCATTAGTGCTGTGGCATAGATTAGACCCACAGGCTGAGCAGCCAGGGGTAAGACCACGCCTGACTCTTCCCTACTCATCAACCTCTAACAGGATAAAGAGAGAACAGGGATAACTGAAATCACAATCCTCTAGATTTCACTAGAGAGTTGTAATACTTCTACATCAGTTGTCTGCACAGTAATTTTAGAGCGGGTACAACTGCAACCTTGTCCTTGTCTGGCAAATAGAGGGCTTTTTCTTTAATAGCCTTTAATCTGTTAGTTTTATCAAACAGTTTGCAGTAGTCTGCACCACATATTTGCCAGGTCTTTTTAGACATAATTATTGAACACAGTATTCTTATATGAACCTGTGTAGCTAATGTTTAAAGGCCTACATTGTTAATAAAAAAAGGTGCAGAATAAAACGTCTCCGTTGTGGCTGGAACACTGTATCTTTGATTTAGC